GCAGAGTTGCAACCTATCAAAGTTCTGGAACATTCTGTTGGTAACGCAGAAAGCGCGGACGCGAGGGGCAATTAACAAACACTACCGCTTCCAACATAATTGTCTCGCACAGTAAAATACAATTAACCAAATTGTGCTCTTGTATTTTCCATTTCCATTAACTCTAATTTTATTAAATAGAGATATTAAATGGGTAATTAGCGCAGCAGTCATAGACTAGCAGACCTCGAATAGCTTACAAAAACTGTTTCAAGTTATTTTACAATTGGTCTTGTAAGATGGGATCCGCTTCAAGATTTTCGTATGATGCAGATAAAAAATCTCCGCATCAAAGCATAGTGCCAATTCATTTACGTAGACTATGATACAATGCGGAGATGGTGCTCCATCGCGTTGCAATGCGGCTCTATTCGTTTTATACAAAATATCTCGTTAGTAAAAAGTTTGATGCATAAAACAAAACTTACAACCTAACTACGCCGTTTTCATATATAAAATGTTATTTTTCATTTTTAGTAATAATTCAATGAGGAGCAACAGAATACAATGTTATCTATTTTCTTTGGTCCTGAAAAGTGGGATCCAGATTTACTTATTTTATTGATGGTTTCTACTTTTATTGTGATTAGAGATGGGATTTTACCCGGAAAAAACCCTCATGTGGGAAAAAACAGGGAAAAAACCCGGGGAAAATTCCCAAATGGGAATTTATTCGGGTTTTTTCATTTTTAGCATATTTGACATCTAGATAATGTGTAGATACAAGTATATATCAAATAGTACGTACTATTACTACTAATAAAAAATAATAATACTCGGGGAAAATTTCCGAATGGGAATTTATTCGGGTTTTTTGGGTTTTTTTCCGCCGCCCATCTCTAATTGTGATATAGTTAAATATTACAGGATGTATAAATAATTGAACGTATTGAATTTTGGAATGGATACTAAACAGAATACAGTCATTTGAACGCATATTTATTCGACACGACCATTGTCTGAATGAGTAACACGTTTACGGCTCCAATTGCAGTCCACTTATTAAAATAAAATAAAAACCTATAAAGAATATTGCACATTGATATACACTTTTACAAAATTTGCAAATACTCGTTACGAAGAAGAGTAAAACTACAGAATTTACATTTTAATTAGTATGTAAAATTCGGCTCAGCATATGAAAATAAAGACAGAAAGGACGAAGAAAAATAACCTATGTGGTGATCCTTGACAGAAGATTGCAATTGTTATTGTTACATTTAGAAACATTAAATGTTATGAAATACTTACGCAAATTAGGCTTCTCATTCTTTAAACCTTCAATGACAAAACTATTTAGAGAAAATCAATACAAATAGATTGACATAAGGCCTTTCGTTCCATAACTAATTTAAGGCTTTAAATATCTTAATGTATAAATATAAGCTCAATTTGTTTAGAAGTCACATTTCATTGTTTTTTTCATTTGAACATTTAACGTCCATTTTGAACTTTGACCTCTATTCCCCAATTGGATGTAATTGGCAACGTCGTAATCATTTATGCTCTGACTTATTTTTCTATCTCTAAAGTTGGTATTTCAAAGATCTCGCATACAACCAAGAGGTCCTAAATTATTTGTTGGGAGGGGAGGGGGATATATTCAAGAGTCTCTGCCTTTCAGGGGAGAGGGGATAAAAAGACTTGATTCATGATAAAGAAGCTGGGATCTCCAAGGAACGTAACTTTTTTCTGTGGGTGCAGAAGTCTTCTTGTGCCACATAAAGAGCCTCTTCGTCTACGTTACGTTTACACTGTACTAAAAATATTCGAACTGCTATAGAATCTTATCGGATCTAAGCCTGTAAACATGATTCAAGGCCTCTTTGTAATTTCAATAATGACATAACGATACTGTTCGTATTCTCTCATACTTTTCGTTGTTCGTTCATTCTAAATACATTATACAAGATCGTTTAATAGTTCGTATTCGTTTAATAGTAACGATTCTGAGTGTGGCAGCCTGATTTAGCGATTTTCATTATGTAGTAACGTTCTATTTGTAAATTGTATGTAACTTGTTTATAGTTCTCATCTTTTAAGTAATCTTTGTAATTTATGTAAATTGAAATATAAGTTGTCGAAGGAATGTTTCATGAACTTCAATATTTCTAATGTATATCGAGCTATAAAAGGACGGGACGTAGGCGTGACACAATTACGAGGGGTCGAAGGCGCCCGACTGTCTGCCGACAGATTATTACAGCTGCCGACGTGAATCCGGCTCCGAGAAATAGGTTAACGTTAAGTAGCCCCTTTTGGCATCGTTATAAAAATCAAATTAGGTTTCAAACTCTATAAAGATTTTTTTATACATTCAAATTACAGAAGTTCAAAGATTACATTATTATAAACATTTATTACACAACAAATACCACCTACAGAACAGTTGCAATAATTTTTTCTACAATATTAAAAAAATCAACCTGAACATTTCGGATCATTTTTTAATTTATACGACACCGTGAATTGTTTGCCTATTTCTTTGTTTTAATTGCAAAGAGGAAAACATATATTAAAAGGGAAAAAATATACAGAAAAACAGAAGCTCTTACGCGGCTACATTCAGTGAAATTTCCCATACAACTACAAGTCCATTCTTCACAATATAGCGCCCTACATTAACTACACTGCAATCACAACAATCTCACATCCAACTCAACATTAAAAACATATGAATGAATATTACTATATAACTATTTCTTAACACGTAACACGCAAGTAATTGGAACACTAAACAAGTTTTTCTATGGACTGAGGATGTGGTGTAGGGAGAGGGCGCTAATTGAAGAGCTTGGGAGAGCGAGGTAAATATAGTGCGGGCCCCCCGCGGCGTTTCCTAGTTTATCCTCGCATTTTGTGGGGAGAACTTTGATAAGCGCGGCAGCGAGTAATCCGTTCTTTTTTTATAAATCAGGTTACCAAATGTAAATATTATACAGATTTTTTTTTACCATTCCGGATCTGGTAGTTATAGTAATATAAAGGCGACAGTAGACTTTGATTGATGATTTCTTAAACTTGCGGCAAATAGATTAGTTCACATTATTGTATTTCAGTTAAACCAGTAATTATCAACCACTTTTTACGTTAAAAAAAATTAGCACTATTAGCCTTTTATAAACGAAAATTTTGTTTGAATCATTATTTCAGACAGAATATGATAAACTATGTTATCTTAAAACAAAAAGACGTTATATCACTATACGACTACACAAGATAAGTGATACTGCATAAGAAAATGTTACCTTAGACAATGAATTAAGAGAATAATAAATATGTTTCAGATTAAATTAATAACTGTGCGTTTACACAAAAATATTTTTACAAAACATAGACATAAGACTGAAATAAACATTTATTTTTTTGATTTATTATAAACTAGCTGTTGCCTGCACCTTCGTCTACTTAATATTAACATAAAAAAGTAGCCTATAATATGCCCGTCTATGTCAGCTACCTTCCAGTGAGAGTCCGGTCGAAATCGGTCCAATCGTTTTGGAGATCATCCTGAACAAATGCGGACAGACAGACTTACAAAAATATTTTTAATGCGATTTTCGTTATCAGTTATACAAATACATCATCTTCCCGAAATTTTAAATTTTTCTTTTAATATTACAAATACACTAATTTTATTTTGTATAGATTCATAGTGCAAAGGAAATAAAATCATGGTTGTTTTGAGCAAAAGTTAACAAAAACACTAGAGATAACCTGCAATTATCATTCATTTACTTTGCTAATGATAATATCCTTATCACTAGCAGGTCCATATTAATAGACAACAAAAAATTATTGACCATGACTAACAATTAATGATTTTTATTAAACCACAGGAAGTAATTTTTATTAAATACATTTGACAGGATATGGTAGCCAGTTGACACCATTTAATTATTTATAGTGACAAATGCATTATAAGCAATGCAATTTCAGCTATAAAGATTATTGCTTAATACCGGTGACTAAATGTAACGGTTTCAGCCCTACTAGCAATCTAGGCGAGATTTCTACAGCACCGCCTTTTATGGCAAACCATATATACTTTGTGCTAAAAAGCGCCATGGCATACTTCAGTAGTTTCCAAAAAATGTAAAAACTTTTCATGTATTACATTATATTTTACATGAGATTTTAAACATAATTGGTTAACAAATTATTTTTAGTACAAAAAGTGATAGCTTGGTTATGAAACATACATTAGGATGGCTGCTATCAAATTAAAATAAATGTATGTACTGGCAGAAAATAATTGTGATAACAATTATTATATAGTGATGATTCAATGTCTGGCAAAACCAGAGCATTTTTTTTGCTAAAATTTATCACAACTTGTGATAAGACCATTTACAAATTTTCCGTTTTTTTTTAATAAGAATATTGGCATTTACAGTGAACCATTGTCAGAATTTGTTTCCAAGTTAATTGAGACGGTATGATAAACAAAGGGAAATGTGAATGTCATGAAGTTACAGTGGCAAAAGTATGAATAGAATGAACTCTACTGGTTTACTTAATACTTTATGCTGTTCTTAACATGATTCTTTTTCATATCTTGTTATGCTATAGAAACCGTAGACTGGAGAAAAGGCAAAAACCTGACAATGGGTACGCACTGCTGGTATTAGTGTGTACTAAAAGACCTATGTAAATTTAAATATATTTGGTAATGGAACAAATATATGAGTAAAAATCCACAAACTGGCTCTATTTGATCTAATTACCTGTTTCCATTTTTATTTAATTAATTAATAGTAAACTTATAATTATGTTTTACATATTATTAATCTTTTTATGCATTGCTTTTTTAATGATAATATGAGGATTATTCAGAATACATCCAATAACCAATATAGAGTTTTAGGTAAAATAATAATTAAATTACAAATCGCACTTCAAGCAACATGCAATTTATTGTAGATGTAAACTGGAAAGAAAGTTTTATTATTAAAACTTACCTTTTTACAAGTTCTGCGGAATTAAATTTTCGAATTCACAGAAATCACAAACTTTGAAGCTGTTAAATCGTCGGAGATATCAAGTTTTTTAAATTCTTAAAATAATTTAATCAATACACAAAAACAAGTCAATTTCAATCTCCGGTTGGCATTTGGCACATTTGGCATTTGTAATGAAAAACAGATAACGAATGAGTTCCACAGATAAAGTAAAAGGAGGAAATTGCTTATTCCCTGTTAAATTATAGCTTTGTTGCTTAGGAATCAGGTAAAACTTGAATAAACTTGAACCCTAACGTAAAAAACTGAATTTTGTTTGTCATATAGGTGTTTTTTAACGCTGTCATCATCTTAATTAATTGTTAAATACTTGGAATTTGCTACTAAAATGAAATAACTAACTTGTGTAGCCGAAATGCAAAGTGTGGCGTCAAGAATAATCTGATTATCAAAATGTTTTGAAATTTGCTATTTTTTTTAAGAAAAGTTTTAAAAAATACGTATTAATGCTAAACACAAGGTCGTGAAGCAAGGCAGGACAGGAACGGTAGAACAGAAAAGCAGTATCATTCATCTCTTTCTTGCAGTAATACGTCATTCTCTCACGTTCAATGTGTGGTGTCATAGTGAAATATTCGTGATATTAGTTCTTACTGACAAATCACAAAAGTATTTTAAAATGCTGGAAATTTTCTGTTTTCATTATGTATTTTTTCATTAAAAAAATGTTAGTGTTGTGCTGTTCGTTGGAAGAAGTATAGTAAAGAAACTTATAAATCCTCACAATGAACTGTCACCAAGTATTAAGTGGTGCCTGTAATTCAGGAGATCAATGTTTTGCTGTTGGTTCAGTGGAAGGAATACCTTTTACAGTGAGTGTATTTATCAAATACTCAGGTTGTATGTACAGACGAGTCTCGTGACCAAGGATGTTGGCCGCAATAGAGTGGTAATTGAGATGTAATGGTCCTAACAGGAAAATCTAATTTAGCTCAGTTTGATAAGAGTTAAACAATATTCTTTTCGATTTATAATGTTTACGCTTTATGATTATAGATTCTTGTCATCACAATTGAATAGCACTTTATGAAAGGAAGAAATACTTGAATAGAAATTTGCATAACATGAATATTTTAATAAAAGATAATTGCTTAAGAGCATTTATTAATTATCTCATTTGTTGATAATTGTAAACATTTGTGTCAAGTTTTAATTAAGTCCTATATTGTTTACATTAGACTGACTAATTTATTAGTGATCAAAAATTTTAGTTTTTATCAAAAAATATTTTAATGAAAGAAAGACAGACATTTCAGAATTACAAGAAATATAACATTAGATAATCCATACTTGGCAATTTTTTTTGTACTTGTAGTAATTTTCCTTTGTAAAAGAAATATAAATATTGCATTTAAAAATATTATTCAACATTTTTATGTAATGTTGTTACTTTGTCTGACAAATTGAGAAAGGAATATTCATTTGTTTCAGGCATATGCAGCAGGATGTAACATAGTAATACTTGCATCGAACTTTGAGCGTGTTCAGATTATACCTGGTGCCATACACGGTTACATCCGCATTAGTTCCTTAGACTGCAGCACTGATACAGGGAAAATTGCCGCTGCATATGGGGCTGAGGTGTGCATATTTGAACCCACACCACTTATACATACAGCAGGAACAACACATGTAAGTAACAATATTGTATTTCATTAAATTAAAACATATTGATATGTGAAGGATATATTTCATTTTTATTGACTTCGCCTATGTTACTTACTAACAACATAGCTTTTTAATGGTGAAAGAATTTTTAAAATTGGCCCAGTAGTTTTTGAGTTATTTCATTACAATCAAAGTTTTCCTCTTTATAATATTAGTATAGATTATTGTTTGAATCTTGGAAAGGTTTTAAAATACTTACAGCTCTCTAATTATTATTTAGATATTCTTAAATGTTAGGATATTTTAAAGTATATGTTTGCGAAATCCAACTTTAGTTGATTTTTTTATAACAAAACATTTTGTAAAACATACACGTGCCTGATTAGATAAAAGATGTCTTATCAGTGTACATATGTTTGTCTCACTCATGCTCTTATATCTCCCTCTGATGTTGAACTTGCTATAATTAGATTAAACATAATATTTCTTCATATTAATGACATTGATTAATAGCAATTAGGAATAGGAGATTAAGTGCTAATTACCTGTTATGTAATAATTTTTTTGCAAAGAATAAAACAAAGCTTATTTTTCAAAATCATTATATCACTTTTCCACTAAGCTACAGGCCAGGCTAGTGAAAAGGGGCTCTTATTGATGTGATAGTACCATGCCAAAAACCTTAATAGTAAACATATTGACAGTTTGTTCACAAGTGATGAATTAAAGATTACGATAAACGACTTACGATACCATTTAGGGAAAACACAAGTAGTTACAATAGATAAAAATATTTTCATACAACATTCAAACATATTTTAAACAAAAACGAATGTGGAGAAACAGAATCAGTCGAAATTTCATCGAAATCCGTTCAGCCGTTTAGGCTAACAAACATCCATATAAACATTCGCATCTGTAGTAGAATTGAATTTAATTTGGCACGTTGGTACTCAGAGAATTCTTTTGCCCGACGTGCCAACTCGCGTCGCGCCGTATTATCCAAATATAGATACATTTTAGGTTTCGACACCTAAAAACCGTGATAAAGGTTAAGTACGCAGTGTGTCGAGTGGGCATAGAAGCGTGCATTGTTTTCTTCCCCTTTCTTCTAGTTTTAAAAGTTACCTTTTCTTTCGAGGACTAGAAAAAAAATATCGGGACAAGCATTCATTTTTTCAGCGCCTATGTGCCTTTAGTTCATTTTGGTATTGTATTCTTTAGTTACAAGACTTCAGTTGGTATGTTAATAAGTAACACGTTGAATACCCTTAATTTATGAAAATACGTTAGCGAATTGGTAGTATTCAACGTGTTAACTCGCAAATTTAAGTAAAACTGTAAACTTAAGTCCTGTGGTTATTTAATTAATTTGATTGTAAATTAAGACTTCTAAAATCCTGGCACATTATTTTAATCTTTATGCAGTTTAAAGGAAATTACATTTTCAAAAACTTTTTTAGGGTGCGACTCGCGTAGACAGTTGTTTTTGTCAACCGTGATATAATATCTGATACGTAATTTATCCATTCTTCTTGTATAATCACATAATCCACGGTCGTTATCATGAAGCGTTAAAAATTCGTTAAATAATTCGCAATTCGCTGCCCGTAGATGTGTCTAATGACAAAGTTGTGTGAATGTCATAGTAATTATTGTCTGAATATTACTCTCAAGTATAATTGCTGGTGATTCATTATATGATATTTCAGCGCTTGAGTAGGAAATAATACGCATGTGTACATTTCAAGTTGATGGAATATTTGTTTATCCTGTTAGCGCATTTATGAGAAAATTGTGTTGATTTTTAAACACAATCACGGTGATTATGTAAATATAAGGAGTACGTTCTTGTCGCATTGTTATTGCAGTCATATAATAAATACAAATATAATAGAAATATGAATATTTTAATTTTGACCAACGTGAAGCTACGATTGATAGTTCCTAGAAACTCGTGTCGTCGATCGATAGACTTGACAGTACAGATTTTTACAATAATATCGCTAAGAAGTGGAATTTTTTAGCTAAAATTTTAACATAGAAGTCTGAAACGCCGCACGGCACATAGCACCGGCCGTTAGTCTTCTTAAAATGGAGCTGTTCGTTGCAGTTTTTGACAGTGAGACATTGCGTAACGTAATGTTCAGAAGAGTGTTACAACAATGTGTGTGTTGATCATTTATTTATGTTCATTTTTAAATTTTATTATTCATTAGTGAAGGAGGAAAAAGAAAGGACATTGAGACCAATAAAGTTTACTAACTGTGGTTAACAATTATGTTGCAAAAACCAAAGGAAAAAAGAAACTAATGCAAATAAAACGAAAAACAGAGAGGAAACTAAAGTTAAGAAAATGCAGGCATTGCGTGAATTGTCACAATAAAAAAAAGCTATTAAAAAGACTGAATACAGATTTTTTACACTATATAAAGCTTGAGTAGACATTACAATATGTTCATATATGTGATCGTAGTGATTTAATACTGTCTGGTACTAAGAGACACTTTCTGAGACTGCATTTATTCTTACAAATGTTTATGTTTTTGAATAGGTTTATGCAGAAGTTGCGTTTGTGTTTGTTTATTTTGGTGTTATAATTTGTTAAGTTAACCAAGATTTCAATAAAGATATATTTACAAAATAATTTTTATATATTTCCTAAAAACCTTAAGTCTACCACCAGGGGCATCCCCTAATATTGATGTACATATATCAATCGTGTCGGTATCGTATGAGGTGGGCGCATGCCTTATGTAACTTTAGGAACCTACTTGATAGAATGTCAGATTTCGACGACCACATAAGAATTTAAGCCGTTAACGTAAATACGTGAAACTACCGAATCAATTTCTTAACATCCAATTGATGTAATCTTATTCATGTCCACATTTTTTTACTTTTATAAATCACAAAACTGAGCGAATAATTTTCGCATTAGATATGTTATCTAATCGTATAACGACCATCGCTCATGTGTTATCCTAAATCTCGCTAAACTGGAATATCTCGACCCATCTATTTGATTTGCCTATATTAGTTTTAAGTGTCACATAGTATTAAGTGTCACATAAAACAAGGGGTATAAACGCTAATATGCTTAATTACGCTACTTGTAATCAATAATATAAAAAATTTGGGCTGATGTGTATTAAATTTTATTCCTCTCAACTTTAACCGTGAGGTTTGACTCCCGAAAAAACCTTTCAGAGCCTTGTAAATATTTGTATCTTGAACTTTTTAATTTTTATCTATTGGTATTGAGAGAAGTGTAAATAATTTTTTATGTTAATAATCTTTTCACGCATAGACTTATTGCCTAGTCTTTTTTTTTCTCATGGAAAAGATTTCTGTTAAAATTCTTTGTGGTCAATAAATCGGGTCTATTTTGATGCTTATCGTTGAATAAATTGTAGACATTAAGTGCGAGTGGGTTTATTTTCATCGATTCCACGTCACTGTAGTCTGGTAACCGAATGGTATATTATTTCCTCATTTTATGCTGTTCTCGAATACGAACGCGCCTCTGTGTATAATTACGCTGTTTTATTTCGCGGATACAATTAGACTGGTTGCTGTCAACTGGATATTTATGTTTCGCATCCACATGTTTCTAGCGTTCTGTTCCTGGTGAAAATCTATTTCATAAAACTCACATTCCTTTACATTACTTTAATGAAATATTAGTCAAAACAAAATGAGCTCAACTATTTACTTAAGATAGAGAATTGGAAATGTTATATTTAGCCCTTTAGTTTTTATCTTTTAATTCGTAGATTACAAAAAATAACAACATTCCATACGTTATCAAAGAAAAACGGATAATCTACAACAGCCAAATACTTGTATAGGGTTAAGAATCTTTCTGTACCTGACTTCTAGCAAGGATAACGTTACAGGAGATGGATTGAAATGATGCCAAGTTTTACCGCCGCCCTCGACATGGCTAGACTTAGCGACGCCTAAAGTAAATATACGTATATCATCACTGTAGATTTTATATACGGATTTTATTACTTCATCGATTGAATAAAGGAAATTATAAAACCATGAAAAAGACTGCAAATTATACTAATTGTCTTATAATATGAAGATTTGTTTTCAATTGATCGACTCGGATCAGAATCATTACACTCGAATACATTTTGAAGGTATAAATAGTTGTGAAGGCTGATGTCGGAGCGTATTGGTTCAATACTCATGTGAAATAATTACGGTAAACGATGGTAAAGAAATTTACATTTATACTAACAAATTTATTATTATAAGTGCAATTTATAGCTGATATTCGTAATGTTCTGGCGTCCGAATCAATACCGATATTGCGAATTGATTTTGAACATAAATGTTCTCAATCATGAACAAGACTGCATTTTTATTCGAATGTGGAACCCATCAAGGTTTAGCCGAGAGCTGATTTTTGTATTGGGGTGCAACTTCTATACATCTCTCTGACCAGGTTGTTTTTACTTGTGTTAAATTATATTTGATTGTTATTAATATCTATTTTAATGATTGTAATGTATACGATTACTCTTTATATGTCAAGGTCCTTCATCCGAAAATAGATATATGCTAATGTTGACAATAATATTGCATGAACAATCAATAACAATAGTAACAGCTGTACGTTTGCTAGTTCAGAGTTGTTCGGTAAAAGAGTGACAGTCTATTCGCCAGGATCGTGTAACTAGTACTGGGTATTCCCTGATGGGGGGTACAGATATTATGAATTAAGCCCTTATTTCCATCAATGTTAATTTATTTTAGTTAGATCTCATCTCCCTAGCCTTATCTCTTTCTAGTAGGGTTGACGCACAAGGTTGTATAAACCTTAAAGTTTTGCATTTTTTTTACGAGTAGCTGTTGTTGCCAACCCTACTTGGTAGCAAGCTCTGCGAAGTTTATTTTATGTATGCTGAGATTCACAACCAAGTACTTTATTAATCACTGTTATCAATACTTATTTGAGTACTTTCTTATCTTATAACCTTTTTTATCTTTATCTTGGTAAGCATTTTTCGCCGAAGTATTATTTATTTCAAACTATCGATCTAAGATGCTGTCAGCTCTGTTGTTGTTTACAATAATGATTAATATCGGTTATTATTTATATGAAAGAGTTTCATTAGGCTTGCGATTACGTCGTTAACAGTGTCGCATTGCAGCCTTTGCGGCGTTTATTGTTCTTTCTGTTGTAATGACTTAACCGTATTACGTACAAGAGGTATTAAGAGCGTTCGCACACCTGAAACTAAATTATCGCACAACTGTTTAGTCTCGTCTTGATTTCTATGAGCTTATATGAAGCGTACACAATTTGTAGTTTTAAAATTAAACAGTTGTATTGGCTACTGAAACGACAATCGTACAACAATTGTGCGATAGTTTAGTCAAAAGTCTCGGCCAGCCCTTAATGTCCTTTTACAAAATTTGCTGCAAGTAATAGTAATGTAAAAAAAATGTAAATGTAAGAAATTCTGTTTTAAATGAACACATTTTAGCAACTTAAATAAACAAATTTACCTTTTGTTAAATTAGGATATAGTGTAAGATTTACTTTTTTAACTGTTGCAGGGGTTGGAGTACAGATGGGTGCAGACCGGCAAGCTTGTGGCGGATGGGCCAATCACCGCGCTGTCCTGGAACCTGGAAGGTACCCGGCTGCTCACCGGCGGAAAGATCTTGCAGCTGTGGCATCAGGCATCCTTGTACCAGGATGACAGCCAACGTAAGTAGTAACAGGTTGTTAAAACTCAGTGATGTTAGACTTAGACCGTGATAAGGGGGGATTCAAGATTTTAGCGTAACAATAGATTTTCATCGTCTTTTATGTTAAATGTTCAAAAACTCTGCTACTAAGGACTTTCTGTAGCTCGTCAAATAAAGGATCATAGAGAATTGAAGCCGAAATTTTGACTTTATTGTTATGTTATCATAATGTTTTAACACAAAAGTGTTAACTACGCCAAAAATATTTTAATATGAAATATGGTCACGATAAAACTTTGCCGTAACCCGTTGGAAGACGATGTGATAGTTTTTGCGGCCAAAGTTCTGGAACGTACTGGCATTTTGCCTGCTTTTATCGATTTTGTGAAATAACTGTTGAAAGTTGCGAAGTTATATCTAGGAAGTTGACCTCGAAAGGAAGTTTAATATTTCTGCAGATTAAATTGAAATCTGATGTCATGTATTATTTGAAATTCTTACATTGTCATCTCATCTGGTGTTGGAATATCTTTTATTTAATCTTTTTTTATAGATTAAAGATATCTTACATTCTATCGATCTTGAAATACGAGTACTTCACTTCATAACGTGATAACTGCCGCCAGCAAATTTCTTTAGCGCGGATTTATTTAAAGTCATCTATCACATTCGCGCGTGCCAGCCTTCTACCAGCTGTCTTTCAGTGAAAGTCTGTCGAAATCGGCCCAGCTGTTTCGGAGATTACTCGGAACGAACGCGGCTTGCAGACAGACAGATAGAGACAAAAAAAATTAAAAGTGATTTTCGTTATCAGCAATGCAAATTTTTCTTATGACATTACAAACAGACAGTTTAATTTTATTATATGTATAGAAAGATATATATAGATTTAAGATGATTTGTCTACAATATTGTAACTACATAATTGCTCATATTTACTGACGAAATGATTCACATAGCGCCATCATATTGGACACTTTATACTTTAGATGACAATAATAGATTAGTCGCGTTCGGTTTCATTGTTTTAGTTGTTTATAGCTTGACAAGAAATATGAGATTAAATGGTGGTTAAATTACATAAATATAAAATGCGACTGTCATGTTTGCCTTATGAAGGCAGAGATAAAAATAAAAACATCTGACTAAAATTATTTTTTTGGTAAAACGTGATAGAGTAGGTTAATTCCTGATCTGTCATAATATTACATCACATTCTGATCTTGATGTCAAGTAATTGATTTATATTTCTTATGATTAAATTTTTGACCACTCTTTTATTTATGTCTTGGTGACGGTAATGGATAGTTCTCAATTTTATTTATCCTCTTTCTAACTTTAAATCGCTTTGTTTGGAGGCGAATAAACTTCGGATAACGAATTAAATCCTCATGTTTCCTTTCAGCAAGTTCCGGTGTCACATTCCAAATCGGCGGAGATAAGGAGGACAAACCCAAACAGCCGGAGGAAGAGGAACCTGTGAGTGCAGTTATGAATTTCTAACGTATCACAATAGATAAGATAAACCGATCTGTTTGCTAGACACAGTATAATTTCTCTGATATCGCTGTTTAAATCGAGATAAGTGGAATTATCCTTTCACAAGAACAACACTAATACTTCCTATCTTTTGTTTAAAATAGTCCATTAGAAATAATTTTCCGATGAAACGTTAACAAGATTTTGGGACTTTAATGTTTAAATAACAATTAATGTCTGTCTTAGATTTGATGTTTACTGTTTTTGTCAGGGTTGGATTTGTGTGTGGCAATGCCACACGGCGACGCCGGCGCACCACCTCGCTTTCTCCCCAGATGGCGTTCTCTTCGCTACATCCGGCATGAACGATCGGCTTGTTAAAATTTGGCATCAAAACAAAGGTACGATTTTAATTGAAACTTTTTTAGAATTTAGGTATTAACTAGCTTTCGCCCGCGACTTCGTCCGCGTGGAATTGAGAAATACAAAAGTGAATATCTATATGGCTATCCTCTACATCTATGCCAAATTTCATAGAAATCCGCCCAGCCGTTTATGCTACAAACATCCATACATCAATCCATGTAGACTTTAGCATTTATATGTATTAGTATGATTCTAGTAAGTTGTGACTTTTTTTATAATCTCTGCATATGTTTCAGTACTGGTGCAGGCGCACGGCGAACATTCAGGAACGGAATTGAATTACACGTTTATCTACGTGGCACATCCACGCGCAGTCACTCATCTATCATGGCGGAAGACAAGCAAATATATGCCCAAGTATGTTTTTGTACATCTTATTATGCGGAATATTGTCACTCTGACGTATAGTATGAGAAACCTTCGCTTACTGTAGAAATAGTATTATATTTTAATGTTCTTAAATGCCGGCAATGCATCTGTAGTTTCTCTGGTATTGCGGATGTCCATATTCGTTGCGTCACCTCGGTGTTCTGACTGAAATTTGGAATTTTTCTTTTGACATTTCGAACAGACAATCCAATTTTATTGTATGTACATATATATGTATATATTGAATGGTGTTGTGGGTGTGTTTGTGCAGAGGCAGCGTGGGCAACGTGCTGGTGACGTCGTGCGTGGACAACATCTGCCGCGTGTGGGCGGAGACGCTGCTGCCGGAGGACGAGTGGGGCGGCGGCTCCGCGGCCGCGCGCTCGCCGCCGCGCCGCCAGCGCGCCACGCACAGGCACAAGCACCGCTTCATGCAGCGACTCAAACATATGAAGTAATATATACTTTAGTTCAGAACGTTTATCTTACTAATGTAAACTAGCTTTCGCCCGCCACTCCGTTCGCTTGGAATTAAAAAATCAAAAGTGAGTAGCCGATTTGTTCTCTCAGACTATCGTATATATCTATACCAAATTTCATCGAAATATGTTCAGCAGTTAAGTCTACAAACCCTAACAAACATCCATGTCTCCATCTAAACTTTTGCATTTATAATCCTACTACTTACTAATATTATAACTACGAAAGTTTTGATGGACGGATGGATGTTTGTAAGAGTTTGTAGTCTAAACGGATCTCGATGAAATTTGGAATAGACGTAGAGTGCAGTCTGGAAGAACACATAGACTACTTAGTTTTTTTATTCCATGCGAACGGAGTCGCGGACGAAAGCTAGTATTAGTATAAAGTACGATTTTACTTGATATTTGTCATCGTATTGTTCAGTAGATCAATAAAATAAAGTAAATAATAACTTGTTTCAGAACATGTTTCCACATCCGACGCAACGCGCAGTCTTCGAAGCAGCCCGGCGCGCCCATACCCACGCTGCCCTCCACCTACAGCGCGCACGACTTCCACAACTCCTTCCAGGCCAGCTCCTACACCGGAGGTACACTACATAGTGCTCTCACCCTATATTGTCTTTATTAGACTACTAGATTTAGAATGAAAAAAAAATTAAGTATTTTATTTAAGTTTCTTTATATCATTTGTGTTAAGATTTTCTACTTTTAATATAATTTTAGTTCTAATATAGCTTTATAAGCACTTTGCCCAGGCAGCAGTTACACCCAAGTATCCAATCGCTATGGGACTCTGCTGCCTGGGCCTTGCGTTAATAATTTATAATTAATTTAGTTTATTACTAGCTTTATTGTTTGTTCATGTTTATCTGTTTGTGTCTTAATGTTGCATGTGTTTCAAATAAACATAATAAAAAAAAACCCTATATTGTCACTATAAGAGACATTTAGTGAACATCTCAGACTAAAACATCGCTAAGAGAAGGTGCAGCTTAAATTATACGGCCACGCTCAAACCCCAAATTCCATTAAAATCTTGACTGTTGACAGATTGTTAGCGGCGCTTGCGAATGAAATTTATTTAAACTGAACATTGTTTTAAATTAATAATAACAGTTCGGGGTCTTTTATAATTTAGTTTTCAAGTAATTTTTTTGTAGCATGTACTATAACAAATCTCTACATTTATCTAAAAAGAAACTAGATTTTTTTCTAGACTGTATTTTTATGTGTGTTAAAATTATTGATTGTGGTGTGATATAAATGTTTCCAGGGCTGCACTTCCACTTGGCGGCGTCTATCAACGCGGAGACGGACATCCCGCTGGTGCCGTCGCTGGCGGGCGGCGGCCGCTTCATCCTGCACTGGCTGCACAACAAGGAGATGCACTTCACCAGCCAGGCGGAGGCCATACTGCACGACCTCACTAAGAAGGTTATACAGTACTTTGATTTGTTCATTTTGATTTAAGAAAACAATAGAGTCAAAGTACTAGTTCTGTCAGAAAATCTCAAACCAACAAGATCATAAAATGGCTTGAAAAAGGATATGACAACCGCAGTACAAGGATTTAGTGTAACTTTTTTGACCATAAATAGGGGGCGCTATTGAGCTGTTTCCATTTAGTTTATTTTATTTTCAACGGTTCAGGTAACTTTGTTCATTTATAGCATAAAAAAATAAATGACTTAACATCATATATTTTTACAGGTTTTAGACAAGGAAGAGAACGAGGAAGGTTCCGGTATGGATCACAACACACATCCTGACGGAGAGAATGAATCGAGTATGTTTTATACATTTACAGTTTAGAAAAAAAAACATTAAAATAATCTTACATATGTATGTAACAACCGTTAATAGCTTAACGCTGTAGGTTAGAATAGCTGAAAAGCAGTTATCGTTGCGTTATTATAACGCTTTATTGCTATTTCATGCTGCTAATAGGAGGTAGGAGATCAAGTCACCATTTGACTAGAGTACAGTCTGAGGACACTAGTAACAGTGATGAACAACCAGGTAAATACAATAACATCAAAAGCTTAGGAAATAGCCATTACTATTGTATTTATGCTTTACAATTATAACTATTACCCTGCTTTTTAGAAGTTTAATTGAAGTATATCTGCCATTTTAACGCTCCTACGTATAACCCTAATACAACACGTTGACGTGAAAAAATCCTCTTAATTCGAAAGAACTTGAATGGTGATTTTATGTTTTGTAACATGTAACACATAAATTACAATCTAGACGAGAAATCTACGTAAAAGAAGTAAATAAATAATAAATAAAAAACTATTTATTAACCAAAAAAATCACACAAAAAATTTTACAGAACATGATAATGAAATGAAAAAAAATCAGTCCTTGGCCAAAAAGAGAAGGCTCAGCTCGGGCATATCAGTAAAAGTCGCGATGGTTTTCAGCGGCGTTTTCAGTACTAAAGTGATCATTAATGTTGTATCCACATCCAGGTAGCGGTAACCACAGCCATCCTAGTCTTTCAAACACGACGTCCATCAACTCTATAGCGACGGACGTAACGTGCACGCACTTGCCGGACTCCCTCGACGCAAAGATAGAGGCGCTGCTGCGGGACTGGCATCAGAGCCCTGATCTACTCTTCTCCATACATCCGGTCGATGGCAGCTTTCTTATATGGTGAGATTAGTAAATACCCAAAGATAAATGCAATTTAATTGTAAAAGCAAATGAAGAACAGTCAAATTTAAATTCATACCTAATCGCATATTTTACAATATACCGTTACATAATGCGCGATTCTCATTTGGCTAATACAGTTGGACAGTAGTGCTTAATAACGACCGGCATTTTATTTATTTACTTAGTTATTTAATACTTTTTTCACAAATATCACAATAACAACAACTAAAACTAAGCTACTACAAGATGCTTAATAACTTTGTGTTTATGTTATCATCTGACCGCAAAATATGTCCATACCATGGTAATCTTATTTCATCATCTTCCTTCTTATCCTACTCCCGTAGGGTCGGCGCAACAGTCATCACCTCATTTTTGAATCATGCTTATCTTATTAAAAAAAAACATAAGTAGGTTTTTGTTAATTTACTAATGTTTCTAGGCTTGGTGGGATTCGATCCCTCTACCGTAACGTTCCAAAACCATTAGGCTATTGACGGTTGATTATTATTTAATATTTTGTATATTTAGTGTCGGTATGAGTATAGAC